TTTAGCAATTAGCTCAAGTACGCGCTCGTCACCTCACGTACAAGGCATTCAATTACCAAATATCATGTCCTAAGGGGAAGGGTCCCCCACACAAGGTTAGACAAGCCACTTACCTCGAACCGGCTCAAAGTCAACTAGAAATCACGCCTTTGCCACGAGTATTCGACTTCAAATGACCCAAATCTATTCAATTCAATTACATATTGTAAATAACATCTCAAGCAACTGATTCTATGATTTAATTCAAAACTAAGCCGCGAAATTAGGTAAAATGACCAAAACACCCCTCGGGCCCACATCTCGGAATCGGGTGAAATTTATATTTTCAGGATCCTCACACTCTCACGAGTCTAATCATATAAGAATCTCTCAAATCGGAGGTCAAAACCCCAATCAAAACCCAATAACTCGGCCTATGAAGTTTTATCCAACTTTTTCCCAATTTTTAATCTCAAATCCGAATTAAATGGTGAAATTAACTATAGATTGATGGAATATAACTAGAAAAGGTTAAAGAATCGTTACCCAATGATCTCCTCTTCAAATCCCTCTCAAAATCACCTTCTCCCGAGCTCCAATTTGATTTTTCAACTTTTGAAACTAAACCCTCGAAATTTCATATTTCTGCAAACTATTTTCACATCTGCGGTCCCGCTTCTGCGGAACATATGTCGCATCTGCGACTTTCATTAAGCATCCCAGGAGCCGCATCTGTGATACCTCTTTCACAGATGCGAAATCGCATCTGCGATGAAACTTCCGCATCTGCGGAAACTGAAGGACACCCAAAATCTGCATCTGCGCTTGCCTTGCCGCTTCTGCAGCTCCGCACCTGTGGAACCCAAACCGCAGGTGCGGTTATGACAAACAACAGCAATTTTTCTGAAATCTCTAACTCCAAAATCTTTCCGTCAACCCTCTGAAATAATTCCGAGGCCCCTGGGACCCCAACCAAAAGCACCAGTATCACCTAATACCTTATTCAAACTTGTACCAATCCTTAAAACACCTAAAACAACATCGGAAACTCGAAATAATCAAGGATCTAAGACTAAGAGCTCCAATTTCCTTAAAATACACTTTCGATCAAAAACCTAACCAAACCACGTCCGATTGACCTGAAATTTTGCACATACATCCCAAATGACATGACGGAGCTATTACAACTTCCGGAATTCCATTCCGACCCTCGGATCAAAATCTCACTATCGGATCGGAAACTTCCAAAATTCAACTTTTGGCATTTCAAGCCTAAATTAGCTACGGACCTCCAAAATACACTCAGAATACGCTCCCAACCCCAAAATCACCCAACGGAGTGGAACCATCGGATTTCCATTCCGAGGCCGTCTTCACACTGTTCCGACTACGGTCAATTTTCCAACACTTAAGCTCTCATTTAAGGACTAAGTGTCCCAAAACTCTCCGAAACTCACAACCGAACATCAAGGCGAATCAAATTAGCAGAAATAAACTTGGGGAAAGCAGTTAATAGGGGATCATGGCATTAATTCTTATGACGACCGGCCAGGTCGTCACAAAACCTAACAACCAACTGATGTTCGAGTCTGCCTCTTTAAATGTCAATACCTCTAAGCAGCCCACTTTCAAGACCAATTATAACCCAGGAAACAACTACACATCTAATAGTAGACCTCGTCCTGTGTGTGAGCATTGTTGAAAGTCGGGACATACCAAAGATAAATGCTATAAACTCCATTGATATCCTCAAGTATTCCAAAACACTAACCAGACTTTCCAAAACAACAATCGGAGGTTTCAAGGAGCTAATCAGAACTTTCAAAATCCCAATCAAGGTTTCAAGTTCAATAGAGGAAAAAGAACAGTAGCAAATGTTCATGGTCCTCCAACTTACATGATGACTGACAACGGAGATGAGGGTGAGCACCATAATAAGAGTCAGGGAATGAGTTTCACCAAAGAACAATATGGTCAACTCATGAGCTTACTGCAACACTTCAAAACCAGTAGTGGATGGGAGGATCCCAACAGTCTGAACCTGAGCTCTAGAGCTGCCAACTTTGCAGGTATTGTAATCTGTACATCTTCAGTTGATTTTGATAAATTGTCATGTAGGTGCTTTAAATCTAAGACTGATACATGGATACTAGATTCAGGGGCCTCAAATCACATGACCTTCAATAGATCTTCAATGTGTGACATTACTGTCTTACCTTATCCCCTATTAGTCATATTTCCAAATGGTTACAAAGTTAGAGTAACAGAAGTTGGAAGTGTGAAACTTTCACCTAGGATTGTGTTACACAAAGTCCTCTTTGTCCCTCTTTTAAATACAATCTCATTTCTATTCATTTGTTGACTTTACACCTTAGATGAATTTCATTCTTCACTGATGGTATTTGTATGTTGCAGGACCATTCACTGAAGTGGTCTCTGGAGATTGGTAGAGTCAAGGATAGACTTTACCTCTTGTGCTCTCAATGCTTGAGACACAAAGATGCCAGTTCTTCCTCTATTACAGTCAAGTCTTCTATTCCTTGTTTGTCTTTTCACCCATGTAATGTCCAAGATGCTTGCTTTCCATCTGTACATGATCCCCCTTTGAATAAAATAACATCTGCTAGTAGTGATACTGATGTAAATGTTCCATCATCTATAAATAAAGTCAGAAGTTGTGTTTCTCTGAATTCTCATACATCTCATGAGAATGATATTCTATGGAACAATAGACTTGGGCATGTGCCTTTTGTGAAAATGAAGGGAATAGCATCTATAACTGTCACCTTTTCTTCTAAACAACCTTTTGTGCGCTCAATATACCCTATGGCCAGACAAAACAGACTACCCTTTCCTCAAAGAACCAACACTTCCAGTAATATTTTTGAACTATTGAATGTCGACCTTTGGGGACTTTATCACACTACCACTCATGATAACTACAAGTATTTCATCACTATGGTTGATGATTTCAGCAGAACTACATGGACAAATCTTTTAGCTTGCAAGAGAAATGCAATTCAACTCATTAAAGCCTTTATTTCATTGATATAAAACTAGTTCAAGACTCCATAAAAACCATAAGAACAGACAATGGCTTAGAGTTTACCAACACAGAAAGTAACACCTTTTTTCAGTCAAAAGGGATCATTCACCAAAAATCCTGCCCATACACACCACAACAGAACAGTGGGGTGGAGAGAAAACATAAGTATTTGCTTGAAACACCTAGGGCACTCTTATTCCAGTCAAAAATGCCTTTGAAATACTGGGGAGAATGTGTGCTAACAGCAACCTACATCATAAACAGACTACCTACTATATACCTTAGAAACAAATGTTCTTTTGAAATCCTATACAAAAAGAAACCACTGTATTCTCAAATGAGAAGTTTTGGTTTCTTGTGTTACCCAACAGTACCTAAAGTCCATACAGACAAGTTTGAACCTAGAGATACTCCACATATTTTCATAGGCTATCCTTTTGGGGTCAAAGGGTACAAAGTCCCGAGTCTTGCTACCAAGAAGATTCAAATCTCAAGAGATGTATCTTTCCATGAAAATATCTTTCCCTTTGCAATTGTTCTAGATGTTTCTTCTTTTCCTTCTGTGCTAAAATGTGTCCCTTTTGTTGACTTTGTGAATGATACTGATAACAATGTTCAAACCAATATAGAAAGCAATCTAGATGGTGCAAGTCACATGGATAATGAACTGTCACTATTAGTAACAATGAAAGATCACCTACTAGCATCACATCCACATCACTTCATAACAATAACATTTGTGATAATCCTCCATTTCTAGAGTCATCTTCAGTATCAAACCTTAATGAACCAGTTTTGAGTAATCACTCTCCTCAAACAAGTAATCAGAATAGTCTCAGTCTTAGAAGAACCTAAAGAGAAATCAAAACACCTGAATGCTTGAATGATTACATTCACAATATACCTAAATTGCATTTAAACAGTTGTATACCATCTTTAAATGCACTGTTATCAAACCATCATTATGTTTCCCCTAGGTTCTAATCCATGATAGTTAGTCTTTGATGCAAAGTGTCTGTCAAGATAATGAACCTTCTTCATATGAAGAAGCAGCTATCAATCCTACTTGGCATGTGGCTATGACACAAGAGTTTGAGGCATTGCGTGCCAATAACACATGGGATTTTGTCCCACTACTAGCAGGGAAGAAAGCCATAGGCTGTAGGTGGGTGTATAAAATAAGGCATAAAGCTGATGGAAGTATTGAAAGATTTAAGGCTCGTTTGGTAGTAAAAGGATACACACAACAAGAGGGAATAGACTACACAGATACATTCTCACCGGTGGTAAAGATGACCACAGTGAGAGGACTCATAGCTGTAGCAGTCAAAAGAGGGTGGAACATGTTTCAACTAGATGTAAACAATGCTTTCCTTCATGGAGATTTGAATGAAAAAGTGTTTATGGAGTTCCCTCCTGGACTAGTAGTATCTGAAACAGGACTAGTCTGTAGGCTAAACAAGTCTCTATATAGATTGACACAAGCCAGTAGACAATGGTATGCAAAATTGATAGAAGCACTGTGCTCCAGAGGTTATGAACATTCCATGCATGATTATTCATTGTTCTACAAGAAGAATTGGACATCCTTGGTATATGTAGCAGTATATGTTGATGATGTGATATTCATAGGATCAGATCTTGAAGAAATAAAGCTTTTGAAGAAGTTCTTACATGATAGCTTCAAAATCAAAGATCTAGGGAGACTTCAGTACTTTCTTGGCCTTGAAATTCTTTATAACGATGATGAGGTCATCATTTCCCAAAGAAAATTTGTCATTGACCTTTTAAAAGAGTATAATTGTCTCAGCTGTAGTTCCTTATCGTCTCCCCTTGATCCAAATGTGAAGTTAAAAGCAAAGAAATGTGCTCCCTTGTCAGATCTCAGATGTTATAGAAAGTTGGTTGGAAATTGAATTTTCTAACTAACACAAGATTAGATATTGCTTTTAGTGTTCAACATCTAAGCTGGTCCATGCAAGATCCAAGGGAACTACACTTGAAGACATCATATCACCTACTGAGGTACTTGAAAGTTGATCCTAGCCTAGGATTCTTCTTCTCCAGGAATGTTGATTATACACTGAGATCATACTGTGATTATGATTGGGCATCATGTCCAGACTCCAAGAAGTCAGTTACTGGGTATGTTGTTCTACTGGGAGATAGCCCTATCAGCTGGAAATTAAAGAAACAGGAAACTATTTCCTTATCGTCAGTTGAAGCAGAGTACATGTCCATTATAAAGGTGGTTGGTGAGCTAGTGTGGTTACAAAGGCTATTTGAAGAGCTCACAGTCCCTTTCTCCAGTCCTATTGCAGTATTCTGTAATAGTCAATCATCACTTCACATAGCAAGGAACCCAGTGTTCCATGAATGAACGAAACATATTGAGGTATACTGCTATTTTTTTCGAAACAAACTACAGGAAGGGCTCATTTCTCTACATCATAGTAGGATTGATCATCAACTTGCCGACATTCTCACTAAAGCACTAACTGGGATTAAACATTCCAACTTTCTCAGCAAGTTGGGAGTGACAACTTCACCTCCAACTTGAGGGGGGGGGGGGGTATTGATATTATTAGGATACATACATTGTATTATATTATTTATATTTGTTTATGGTAGTTGTACTTATAGCATTACGAGTAGTACCAAGCAGTTAGGTAGTTAGTTGAATTCGTTAGACTTCCTAAAGTTAGTTAGTCAGTTAGTTGGGGTTTGGGCTCCGTTAGTTTTTCTTCTTATTCTCCTCTGCTTTTGCATTGTATATATACACTTTAGTTGAGCTAATGTGATCGAGACTTTCATTTCCAAATTCACTTTTCCTTCCTCTTGCAAATGCTCTCATTTTTCGGTCTTCTCCTCCAAGTCTCCACTCACGCCATTGGATCGAGGCTCTTCTCGAGCTCAATTGTACATTTGCTTTTCTAATTTGATAGAAATGAGTTCGAACTGATGAATTCGCAAAAGAAATTATTATGGTCTTTTCTTAATTTGTTCAGTATGGGGGGGGGGGGATTGGATGCTTTGTATTATGGGTTCCAATTAATTCGCGATTGATGCGCACGTAGTTGATTGATCTGAGTTCACATCATAAAAACCTGAGGGCAAATTGTGATAATTCACCATTAGGATTGTTATTCGACATCGCTTTATAGAAAGATTTCTTTATATATATGTGAGCAAATATTATATAATTAACGAGAGCTTGAGTTACTTGGCTTTTGCTCAAGAATATTGGGGAGACTTCTAATAATAAGCAGGTAATCTCGCTGGGTTGTTCTCTAGTGCTCATATTTATAGGAAGGCTAATTCGGTACATGATGATTTAGCTAATTTGGCCTTTAGTCAAGTGTGACGACCCAAAGGGTCATCACTTGCTTTTAATTGAATTTTGTGTCTCTGATGCCTTGAAAACCTCATTTAGAGTCACTTCAATTTGCCTGTGTAGTCCGGGTGCGTAGCCGGAAAGCTTAAATATAAAAATTTGTGAAAAATGATAAGTTTTGATTATAATATGAGTTAATTTGACTTCGGACAACATTTTGGGTAAACGGACCCGGACCCGAACCCGTGATTTGACGGTCCCAGAGGATCGTAGGAAAATACGGGACTTGGGCGTATTCCCGGAATCGAATTCCGAGATCCCAAGCCCGAGAAATGAATTTTTAAGTAAAATTGTTTTCTGAAATTGTTTAAGGAAATCTGAAATGAAATCTGATTAGAAAGCGATGGTATCAGGCCCGTATTTTGGTTCCGGCGCCCGGTACAAGTCATATATATGGTTTAAGTCATTCCTGTAAAGTTTGGTGAAAAACGGACGTCGTTTGACGTGATTTGGACCTAAATTGCTAAATTTGATGCTTTAAGAAGTTTGAGAAAAATGCTTTGATTTTGAGGTTTAATTTATTGATAATGATGTTATTTTGGCAATTTGATCGCACGGATAAGTTCGTATGATGTTATTGAGTTAGTACATATGTTTGGTTAGGAGCCCTGAGGGCTCGGGTGAGTTTTGGATAGGTGTCGGAGTGTTTAGAACATAGAAAAATCTGGTTTTTCTGCAGCTTTTTGGTGTCGAGTGATTTGTACTATGCGATCGCATAGGTAGGATCGCGATCGCATAGAGTAATTTTTAGGGGTTCAGTTTTGTTCTATGCGATCGCATAGTGCCTCCCGCGATCTCATAGTGTTAAGTCTGAGAGGTCCTATATTCTCCTTTATGCGATCGCATAGTGCTATTCGCGATCGCAATGCCCAGCCTGTTTCTTCTATGCGATCGCAGTGCTCTGTCCGCGATCGCGATGACCATTTTCCCCTTACTCTATGCGATCGCATTACATTCTTCGCGATCACATAGACCATTTTCTCCTAGTTAAATTTTAAAACTTCAGAACTGTAGCCTTACGTGATTTCATAAAATTTTCATAAACCCCTTCTTCCCCAAAGCTCTTAGGTGATTTTGAAAGCACTTCTTCACCAAAACTTCTTGGGTAAGTAATCTTTAACTTGTTTTCTTCCATTTTCATCAACATCTATTAGATTTCTAGGCTTAAAACATGGAATTAAAGGTAGAAAATTAGGAATTTGGGTAGAGTTAGAGTTTTTTGATTAATTGTGATTTAGACCTCGTTTTGGGGTCAAATTTTGGAAATAATTATATATTTGGGCTCGTGGGTGAATGGGTGATTTGATTTTGGTCCGAACCTCGTGTTTTGACCAAGCGGGCCCAGGGTCGATTTTTGGGTTTTTGGGAAGAAAGATTGGAAAGCTATAATTAGGCATTGGATTCGAATTGTTTAGCATTATTTGATGTTATGAAGTCATTTATGTTTAGATACAATTGATTTGGAGCTGAATTCGAAAGGAAAGGCGGTAATTGAGGATTGAGTTGGCCGTGGAATTTGAGGTAAGTGTTCGGTCTAACCTTAGCTTGAGGGATTAGGAGTTGAGTCATATTTGCTACTTGTTTCTTGTTGAGTACGACGTATAGGCATGGTGACGAGTATCTATACGTTGGTTTCGAGCATGACCGTGAGTCTTAAATTGATACTTGTTGTATTCTTGAATGATACTATGGTTGCGATAGTGAGTAAATCCGCGGTATTGAGCAAAGACTTAGTTTATTTCGTGGAAGTTACTTATGAGTTAGAAATGGTGATAATTGAGATGATTAGGAGTAGAGTTGAGATTGGTTATAGCTGATTCTCCCTTGCCGGGATGTGTTGATACCCAATTTTTCCCTACGTATTTTTGTACCCAAAATACTTTCAAAATAGCATATGTGTGCATATATAAGCACACCCATGAGTTTTGGTATTTTTCATGATTTCTAAACCAATTTATTGCCTGTTTTAATACCACAAAAATCCAAAATTATTCCCAAATTATTATTTTTGGTGAGTAACTTATTTCATTCTCATGTTTACACCAAAATATAAGTAAGGTAATTTTTGCATATTTTTTACAAATTCATTTGGCATTTTTAAAGCTAAATTGCATATAATTGCAATCATAGCCTATCTTGTAATTTTTAGCATTTTATAATTATAAAATTAATCCCAGCATTTTTAAATTAGTATTTATACAATATTTATTTACCCAGTACTCTTAATTTACTTTTAAAATTGTGTTACTATTTTATAAAAAAAATTAAAAAAGGGGAAAATTGGCTATTTACGATTTAGCCCCAATGCATTTCAATTATAGCCAAATTGATAACCCAATTCAGCCCCAATTTGAGCCCAAATCACCCCAGCCCAATTACCCAATCAACCCGACCCAGTACCCATTAAATCAAACCCGCCCGCTTTCTTTTAATCTGAGCCGTTGATCATTTTTGATCAACGGCCCAGACCTCCCCTTTCCTTTTTTAATTTCAAACGACCCCAAACCCTACCCCATTCCTCACAATACGCCGCCTCTGAATCCTCCTCTTTTCTCAACTCTCTCTCAACTCACCTCAAACCCTAGCCGCCGCCTCTCACCGAAACCCTAATCCATGGCTTCCCAGACTCATCGGAGGCCTATACCGGCCTCCCATGGCTTCTATGCGCTCATCTCTGAGGTCCTATGACCAGATCTTGAAGGGGTCTCGACCAAGCCGTTGCTCGATGGCTGTTCTCCGGTCGCCTTCAACCTCTGTCCGGCCAGCCATGGCCATTCGAGCTCGATCTTCGACTATCCTGCCTAGATCTGGAGTTTCCAAAGCCTTTCTCATCGCCTGGGTTTCTTATGAAACCCTAGCTCTAAGGTTCCTTCTATTTATTTCTTAGATCTGCTCCAAGATCTATATGTGTTTGAACGTTATGAGCATGTTTCTCAAAGTTTCCCCAATTTTTTGCTTTCAAAACTCTTTGTTCTTTTAGCTATGGTTTTAGGTTAGGTTATTTCGAAGTTCCCCTCTTATTCTTGGCATGTTTCTGACTTTGTTTGTTTGTTTTCCTTATCCGAGTAAGCATGTTGAAAACCCTAATTTTGTGATTGTTTGAGTCTGTTTGTTGAGATTTCATTCGATTCATATGCTGATCATCTCTAGGTTTGTTTGATGTTAAAAACCCTAATTTTGGGAATTTATTCGAGTTCATGAGCCTATCTGCCTGGTTTACTGAAAACCCTAATTTTTAAGGGTTTCACTTGGGACTCTGAAATTGCTTGTTGTTTCACCTGTTTGTCGTCTCTAACCTCAACTGATTTGAAAACCCCAGTCTCTTTCGGAGGCTGTTCAAAGTCCTGTGAGGTTGTTTGTGCATGCTTGTATGTTTGAAATTATTCAACTTGATGCCTTGTATCAACATTTCTTTTCTCTATATGTTCTACGCTTGTGATTCTCACTCGACTCTCTGCATGTTTTCGACTCCTTCTCTCTCTATTACACCTTGATGCCTAACTAACATGCTTTGAATGTCTGCTCTATGCTATTGCTGCATGATATTTCTTTTGCCATAACTTAGCCTCACATGTCTGCTATTTGTGCATGCATTATATACTGAGTACCTCCTGTGATTTATTTAACTCGAAATTGATTTCAAAAAAAAAACTTTTCCTTCCTTGAGATCCTGATTTTACTAGCCTGTCAAAGTCTAATTGATTCCTTTTCCTTTGATTGGCCCCCACTGAATCTTTCCAAAAATAATTTCAAATCCTGTACTTAGACTTAATCGCCTATTGTATGACTTTACTGTTTCTTTTATGGCAATAGCCATTCTGCTTGCAAGGCTGGTTCTCCTTTCCTTATTTGGATACGGTTAGTATCCGTTTGAATAAGAATTTCCCGATTAAAGGGGAGTCTTATACTAATTGATTCTGATTTGTGACCATGCCATATTTATGTTAGATTCGTACTTGTTACCTTATTTCTCTACACGTTTTCAAAGCTATAAATATCTCCTCCCTTTTCTTTGAACACACGAACACACGAACACAGAACGCAATCGGAGTCCACAAATCACTCTCACTTAAAAACTCTTTCTCTTTTACTTGTGCTGCTGTGGACTTTGTTTACTCTACTTTCTCCTGCGCTCTTTTGCTTCTCTACTGGTATGTCTCAGTTAG